CAGAAAAATGGAAAAGCACCAAAAGTAACAAAAGACAAGCCAGGGGAACCACACAAAACGGTGGCACTGATAATCTATATAAGATATCTATATCTTATATCTTAGACTTTGTGTCTTTCACCTCAGTTTTGTTTATTTGGGTAAGTCATGGCAGCTGTGCCTTGCTTTCCTTCCACAATTCAAAGAAAAAAAAAAAGTGTGAAGATAAATATTTGTAAACACAAAGAACTTTATTCAGTGATATCTGAGGAGATCCCACTCAGAAGGGTTGCAAAAAAGCCATAAAAGTTTGTTTTTTGTTTTAATCACGGGGTTGAATATAGACCTGTTCTGACCAAATTCCAACTAGGTAATTTATTCTGCCTGCCAGACATTCCTCAAACATTGAACTGATAACGTGAGCTTTTCTCAACCCCACAAAAATATCTAGTTTTGTTCATCAAATTCAGCTGCTATGTTCCAGCTAGGATCATCATAATTAATAGCATGGAGGAAAACCACATATGCCTGCTTTGCTTTTGGTGTTTTTTTCTGCTTTGATGGTCATATTGTTTGCAAACTCTTTAATGAGTCCCAATCCTCCCTAGTATATGCTAGGAACAGCACTACAGTTTATAAATAGTGAAAGTAATAGACCTAGGGTTGCTTTTATTACATGCAGTATACTTATTTGGCAATGATGATGACTCACTCCTATCAGCTGTTCAGATACACACCATTTTCTCTGGCTTCTGTAAAATAAAAGGTAACAGCTAGAAGATTTCAGATAAGGAATGCCATGATTTTTAGACCTCCATACAAAATCTGCTGTCCATAAAATCTGTAAATACTAACAGCTACCCATAGAAAGATTTCTACAGGGAATCTGGTCCACTTTTTTCAAATCCAAATTTACAAGCACAAGATTCATAATGCCTCTTGTTAGCTTTCCTTCTGCAATGAATGGGCACACGGAGATTTCAGAAGAGTTAAAATGCATTTCAGTATACCCTTTGTGATAATAGTTGGTAAAGCTAATTGCTCTGAGAAAACTGGAGATCATTCATTACCCGACTAAGCAAATGAGGATTTGCAAATAGCGATTCATAGTGCCAAATGCGGGATAACAAGGATTGTCCTTTCAACTGTGTTCACTGATGACACGAAAGTTTATTGACTGCAGTGCACCCGACGAGCCCCTGCTGTAGTGCTTTAGCAGACTTCCCAGCATTTCAGATGGATACTCAACTTCTGTCGCAGCCAAATGCATTTAAATATTTGGTTTCTAAAGGCAAGTACTTAAAAGTTCTTGGAGGTGCTCAGTTATCTTAACAGCTCCTTTTCACCAATGTCATCTCATATTTTTAATTACAGATTAAAATGCTATAGTTATTCTGCTATCATTGAGAGTTGTTTTTGACCTATATTAAATGACGCTTTTGATACCTACTCTGCTTCCTCATACAGAAACTCAAGCATCTTCCTGTACCCCTCTTGATCTCTTAACACTCTCCTCACCCAAAATGAGTCAACATCATCCCAATATTTAACCACCTCAAAGATTAAAACACGTATATAGATTCTACTTGGGATCACCACCAATGCATACAGACCAGGGAAGAAAGGAAGGAAGGGACAGCTACAGTGTTAAAATTGCTTACCAAAAACAAATGTGAGAAAAAAATCCAGCAACCCTCAGAATTAGCCAAAAATAAAGACTTGGTAAGAGATCACTTCAAGAAATGGAAACTAGTTGCCACAGACAGAGAAATTGTAGCCACCCAGTGAATCCAAAACTCTTGAGAATTTTGGTTCAGATTTTAAAACAAAATGCTCAGTTATTCAGGTTTTGATTTCTGATTTTGTTGTGAATATAAAACCATCTCTATCCTGTAATGTGAACTCGGCTTTATGAGATATAAAAGAAATAAAAACTAGCAAAATTCTCTCTATGTAGTTAGATTAGAGAAAAAGCTTTTACTGTTATGCAAACTCCAAAACACCTCTCAACCTGCTCAAGTCACAGACAACCAACGTTGACAACTCACGTAACTCAAACTCAAATAGCTTTTTAAAAGCCAAAAAGTCTTTTCTTCCCCCTAAATCTCTAACTGCTTTTCCAATTATCTGATGTGCCTTCTCGATGAGATGTAATCTACCTTATAATCTATCTTTGATGAGAAACAATGATGATTCGCAATGAAAAAAAAAAYCAAAGACAACCAGGAGCTTCTTCAGGAAGTGTTTAGTTTCAAGTTCTTAGCGCACACTAATATTAACAGCACATCCAAGTCTCTCTCCATATGCACCAACCACAGACTGGACCATCTCTATGGAAAACAACAAAGCACTTCTAGTCATCCAGGTACGAATGAGTTGGATGGAATCACTTAGCAGCGATTCCCAACTGTCCCTGCTGATGTTAAGGTGAAGGAGGGTGGTTAAGGCTGAGCAGGACGAATGTCCTTCCCAGACTGTGTGAATTCTTCGTTTCCCTTCTGTTCCCAAGACACGTTAATATAGCAGCAACAAAAGCATAAAAATYCTGTCTCCCACTTTCCCATTGGGAAATTTACCTAGTTACAGCATAAAACGAGGTGGGATTTTAGCCTTCGCTGCAACCGGAAGCATATAATGAACTGCAYCGATGGAGCAATCATACGGATATTGCAAAAACGGTCCTGCRTTACAGGCAAATGTCAGCTTTATAATATTTCCTTAAACACTCAGTGGTCTTGGGAGGCTTTCGCTACACCACCAAAGGATCCCACAGTAATTTCTGTTTTGCTGTACTTGCAGATATTGCAGATACCTGAGCTGCCACACATGGAACGGGAGCGCCTGGCATAGGCACAGCTTTTAAAGGACATACGGAGTCTGACAGCTATTATTTCAGCTAGGCACATGCTAAGAGATGTGCCCAAATGTACAAATCCTTAGCTCCTATGCAAAAGTGGARGAAAAAATAATAGTGAATTCAATGAGAATTTTTTCATTACTGTCCATGTTACACRTGATGATGTGTAGAACACTCTGGATATAACATCAGTTGCTCACTAATTATACGTTGAATGTGGTTATTCATCTGAAAATAGACAGGATGGAAGAGTAAAGTGCTCTTTGTGCACTGTGTAATGGAAGAGCACAGTGGCCTGGCAAACATTTGAGACGCTTAGTTCACGCACTGACATGTTCTGCACTGCAATTACGCCGAGGTCACTCCCGCTTACATGAGCAACAGCAAAGCGAACAAGTTCAGATATTAGGTATAAGCGATCATGACATCAGCTCTAAGGTTTTCCATCCTATTTTTTACTGCAGCAAGTTCCGATTTTTTATTCCATTTTGCTCCACCCAAACTATTTTTAGMTTCCTTATGTAGAAATTTCAACGTAAATCTGGTGTTTTCCTAACAAAGCTGCAAAGCAATAAGACTAAGCAATGGCCTCCACCATCCAGGCCTGCTCTAGGCTTCTTTCATGACAAGTGCATCATCTGCTCGCTGAAGCACTAAGTACAGAGCATCTTTGCTAGAGAGAAGGTGACTTTGCCCCAGCAGGGCAGGCAGGAGGGATGCGCTGGTGGAGAGGTACTGCTACCAAGAAACCAACGGCACTGAGGAAGCAMAGGGAGAAGGAAGAGGGATAAAGACAATAATGAACCCTGATGATTAAAGTACAGATGTAGACAGAGGCGAAGGAAGAATCCATTAATACTCGGATTTAAACAGCAAATATTAGCTACTTTATCCATTCCTCAGAGCTCATCATTTCTGAATAAAACCTGTTCAATCCGCTTTCCTGCTTTCTGCACTACATGTGCTCAGACAGTGAATCAATCCATCCGTCCACTTTGACTTACCTGGTACCTTGGCTCTTTTGGTGTAGYAGAGCACGGAGTATTTTGTAGTCACAACTACCAGGATACAGCAATCAAACATTTCCACAGACAAAAGCTTTATTATTATCTATTAAACTAAAAGCCATTGTTTTACTCGACACTCTTCCCTGAAGACCATTGTTTTGATGTTCTGGGATCATGCTAAAAACAGGAAAAAACTATCAGTCTTTTCTTGCTAAAAGCTTTGTCTTAATAAAAAAAAAAAGTCATTTCAAGTTCATATTCTTTTGCGCTTTGATAATACAATAATTACACTTATTGGAAACACATGCTAGGTGGATCTTTCTGGAGCATTTTTCTCATTGTCTGGTACTACAAAACACATCTGGGTTGTATTTGCCCCATGTAAGCTAATAAGGGTACCAAGTTTTTTTAAAACAATATGCAAGATAATCCTAAAAACAGCTTTCCAAAGTAAAAAGAGGAGAAAAAACCTCCAAACTTCATCCAAAACTCTTTAAGTATAACAACGACTAAGATTAGGTCTGAAGATCTTTTTTTTCCTAAGTACAAGGTCATTAGTGAAGAAGGGAAAATTTCTTTTTTTTTTTTAATCTGATTACTACGTCTATACATAAGTGCAGCTAAGCATACCGCATTAATGGAACTTAATAAGGGATGTCTCCCCACYTACTCAGATCTGAATTAGCATGATTTCGAGTGCCAATATATTGGCACTAGAAGATGTCAAGCTTCTTCTTGTTACTAAACTCCTAACTTGGGAGAATTGGAAACTTGAAAGCTTTTTGCTGGAGCGTAGGGGATGTTGACACCTTCCAGATTTTCACTTTACTGGACCAACCCACAGACAGTATGGTGCAAGGGAAGAGCAGATGGCTTTTCTTCTGGTGCTTCTGCTCCCTAAATATGAAGTTGAACATTGTTCTTAAGCCATGCATATTCAGCTCCTGCTGTAAGAGGAAGGTGTCTTATTTATGTTAAAGCCTTCCATCCCATACTGCATGGGTCCCATTCCAGATCATCTCTGCATACGCTCACAGGGCTTGCATGTTAAACGTCCAAAGGAAAGCGATTTTTTTTCTAAATTTTGCAAAGACAATCACATTCTAGGCTTAAAAGAAGCTACACACTGAACGTCAATGTTCTTCCTCCCTTCACTTCTACACTCCTAAAACAYACATATAACACAGAATAAGGGAAGTGCCGACAAAAGGAAACCTTTTCACTCCTGTTTCACAGTTTCCTGGTTTTGCCACAATTAAAAAAACAAAACAAAACAAAACAAAAAAACATACTACCACAAACCTTTTCCAATTGGCAATTCTTTCTTCAGACCTCCCCACTGGTGGAAGCATTAACGCTCAGTCTGTGCTGAAGTCCAAGGCAAATCCAGCAGTACATGGCACTTGTCCAGGGGCTAAGTGTTTGCACTTGCCGTTTACACTTTACATGCAAGGTCACACGATACCCAGTTTAATCCCATATCCTTCTTATAGGATCACAGACCTCTATGAAAAAAAGACTAAATTTCACCATGTACTAATGACAGAAAATTACAGTCTGGAAATCTGACAGGGCAGTAACAGTGTTTTGCCATCCTGTAACCAAATACCATATAGTTTTCTTTTCCCCAGAGTCTGATGAAAAGACAGAAAGAGGCTTTGATAATGCTATTAAGTTGACAGAGCAATGCTACAGAACAAGTCTCACTGCATTTTACTCACCTGGTTTTAGATACACAAAATGACTGATTTTTCCTACAGATATCACGGAGGCTGGAAAGTAATGCTCGGAGAACACAGCCTAAGTTGTATTCAGCGGAAAAGAGCAATTTAAATACACATCAAGCAAATAAAGCAAATAAACAGTGCACTGGATTGACTGGAAACCACTTCTTATTCCCAAACTTATCTGCGCAAGTAAAAGAGAGATCAATAGACTGACGAATACGTAAAGGAAGAGATGGAAAAGTGYGAGTGAGGACCATGCAGTCAATACAGGGCACAGGAATAAAAATAGACAGATTGATTATTAAACCAGTTGCTGCCCGGTCCTCTTCTGTTGATGTAAAACATAAAATTAGCTCCATTGCAGTTGTGTTTTCTGAGCTCATTTGTGCAATATGGGGCTTAAAGCCACCGGTGAGGAACCCTTGTGTGATGCTCTTGGGACTGTGCTGGACTGGAGATGATGCAAGGCTCTCATGACAGGCTCTTAATGAGTATGAATCACTGAAAATCAGTATGTGGGAGAACAAGATCCCAGCATCTTGGACTAGAGACCTGCTAAGACCTTGGTTGGTTTGATTTGCTCTAAGTGTGCACCTAAAGACACATTTCTAAACTGTGGAATTTATGCAGTAATTAACATGATTGGCTTAGAACGGCACTGGCTGCACGTCTAAAATATTGGATCAATTACAGATAACGTGTTGGTGGGTGGAAGAAATGGAGAAGGCCAAGTTAACCTATTCAGGCTGCCTGTGAGCAAGCATTTAGGCTCGTCTCCGTCTACGGGGGCCCTGTGGCGGCAGAGGCAGYGCTGGGCTGGCGGGAGGCACGCGCGTTCAGATCGAGGTGCACTTACAAAGTAGCCTGTCCCCAAGCTGGAAGGAGCCGAGCTCTGCAATAAAACACAAAGACAAAGAGGAAAGTCAGCGCCGGGCTTCAGCACGCTGCCAGCCACGCGGCTYGTTACCGGCCCCCCAGCCCGCCTTTTCATCGCCACATCACAGCCYCGGCGCGCTGCCCCTTGTCATCTGCTCCCGAAACAAACACCGYGGCGCTTAATGTCCCCCCTTTACATCTCTCGGCGGCGCCGAGCCCGTAACGTGCTATTTACTGAATTCCGAGCTTCCGCGCCGGACGTAATTGGCAATTTATTTGACAGGCAGCTGGGTAATGAATTAATGATGGCATTTCGCCCCGCGCTGAGACTAAACAGACACTCATCAGCCAGCCTCCCTGACATGCTGACATTCAATGCCCGCGACGCCAGCGACTCGGCTCTGCGGCCACCACGGGGCACGCAGGAGGGAAAAAGCAGGGGGGAAATGGAAAAAAAACACAAAACCCCCCAAAATCCCCATGGAGACTGACTTCAAAACAAAAAGCCCGGTGGGCCTGGATGACTTTTTCAACGTATGACCTGCTTGCCAATTTACTCCCGAAAGGCCCCGCTTGGTGCCCGTGCGGCGCACGGCTGCAAGGAGACATTTTGTAAACATAATTAGTAGTCGGGAAGGCAGAGGAGGCGTGGGCCCGGAACGGACGCGCAGCCCGGAGAGGGATTACGGACAGGAAAGCGAAACCAGGCGGCCAAAACCCCATGACGTCAGCCAGGTTCCAGAGCTGAAAATCATGAGAATAATGACATCTGCTGCTGCGGAAAGGACCGGGGGAGCCTCCCCGGCCTCTCGAGCCTCCATCTCGAAATTCAGCCTGGGCGCAGGGGACCGCGYGGCCCGTTCCCCCCCGCGGAGGCCTCGGCGTCGCGGGCGTGACTGGGGTCGGCGGCTCCCGYGGCAGGGCCGCCCTGGCGCCCACGCCGAGCCCTGCAGTGCAAGCAGACTCGGCGCGCCGTGGCCAAGGGGCAGTCGGAACCGCCGGAAACCTGCGGGAATCCTCTCCGCGCCTGAGCGTCCAACACGTTGCCGACAGGTAAGAAAATGACCTCGCCAATCTCTCAGTTGGATCTTTCTACAGAATTCAGCTTGGAAGCAATGGAGTGCGCCAAGCAACTTAACAGCTGCAAATTCACCACAGATAAGCAGAATATTACTTTTTGCACATCATCGTACTACTAGTAAGAGTGGATAGGTTAGTASAGGGAAAAGCCTTCCCGTTTAAGCCATTTAAGTTTAAAGACGTGGCAAGAGGAAACCTTCTCGGCAGTCTGAAGGATACCAACATYGTGACATCAACAGGCTCTGCCGGGACATCTCATCTGAAGGAAGAGGCTGCTATGGAAATTGTGAAGGGATGTGGGTGCTGCCACTTTGTCCTCTCCATCGAACCAGCTGCAGGAGCTGAGGTGATCAGGGGCAGTGGATGGGTGGCCTAAGGTCTCCAGTTCATTGCTGAGTCCTTCAGGCTCCGCTGATACCGCTCTAGGGCCACCACCAGCCGCAGACAGCCCGCAGGCCCCAGCCGACACAGCTACAACGTCACGCACTACAACACAGCCGCAACAGTCACAACTACCGTGTCCCCATTTTGGGCCACCTATGGGACTTTCAYGAGCCCTCAACTCCGTTTTTTTAAACTCGCTCCAGAGGCTGAAATGCTCATAGTTTGCATTCTGCACCTCCGCGTGATTTTTTTGCCTGCTTTTTGCTTGCAGGTGCAGAAGGATCAAGTCCCAAAACAAAACAAAACGCCAAACACACATCTCGTCTCCCACCGAGTATTTCCGTTCCTTGGAAAGCAACGTTGCGAATGGCCTTGGGAAGACGGTTGAAACACAGCAGTCAAATGGCTTTCACTGAAAAGAAACAACGTGGGGCCCTTTCAGGGCACGTGGCTTTGCGTGATGGGAACACAGCCCTGCACACCCTGCACGCTGCGWACAGCTCGTACGGTTCGCATGCTCTCTTGGGCTGCGGTGGCTCACAGGACTGCATTGCACGTGCATGGATGACCACGCCAGCTCGGCTGGGCATTGGTGCTGGCTTGGATGAAGGGCTGTGCAAGGAGACAGTTTCCCACCTTCTGGGAACTCCCAACAGCGAAGGATCCTCCCACCCAGTGCCCAGCCTTGGTACCAAGTGCTGGAAGGGATGCTGTGTACGCAGCATCCGTACGAGCCCACGCTGAGTCGTGCTCCTGCACTGGATGTTTTTACAGCTCTTATATAAACTGTGCCTATAACAGAGGTAACGGTTTCACTTTCTCCCTCTGCAAAAGCCCACATTAGATACACCATTTCATATCCATGCCACCACTAGCAGAAGCCTGCATCAGGTGCCCATCAGCAAAACGCAAGTTGCTTGCTTAAAATTAACAGAATTTGGGGGTTGTTGTTTTTCTTCTAAACTTTTTTTTTTTTTTTTTAATATTTAAAGAAAAACCAAAACCAATCGTTGAAAAAGTATTGGCCCAGGAGCAAAAAATATAGTAACCCTCCTGTAAGCATTAGTTTACTGTGTACCAGAGAAAATTACATCCTTGAGGTCTTGGAAGGCAGAGTTCTCCCCGTTTTGCATATATATTGTACATTACTTGGGGAGCTGGGTGGGGAGAAGGGCTGCCTTGTACATATTTGTTCTGGCTATTGTTTATGCAGGTCTGGCTGAATGCGGGAACAGGGGGTATCATTTCAATTTCTGATGTCAACATCAAATTACTTATTTAATTTCATGCCTGGCGAAGCATTGTATAGCTACACGCAGAATCATTTCACTTCATTTGTTATGCTGTGTTTTCTTGGCGATTGGCTTGCCTTCCAACTGACAGCTTTAATTACGACATGAATTTGATTGCACTGCCGAGGAATTAACATAATGCAACAAAGCATTTAAGCACCCAACCTCCGACACAGGCGCGCGGGGCTGCGCCGGGGCCCTCCCGCGTCAGACACGGCCGGACYGCGCGGCTGCTCGGCAGGAGCAGGGATCTCCGATCGCGCGCGGGGTCCGAGCACGCACAAGTCTGCATCTCCAYGTGCCCTTCGCTGGGCTGGGCGCCCAGGCAGGAGCAAGAGGAGGTGGAAGGCGGCCCGGGTGCTGGGCACCGGCGGCACCGCTCACTGCAGGGATGCCTCCTTTCACCGGGAGAAGCAGGGAGTTGGCGGCTGAGCAGGGGCTTCAACCTGGTGGAGCTCCAGGCTGGTGAGAGATTGGGAATTTAGGAGTGTGCACCAAAGAAATCAGAGAATTTATTTGTTTGCTTTCAAGCACCAAACACCTGCATGTTCAGTGTTCTTCACTATCCAGGCTTGCTTTTCCTTCACGTAATCTTGTGCTGGCTTTAGCAATCAAGGCCAACAGCTACCTCCCGTCTCCGAGACGGGAAGGCTCAATTAAAAATAAATGCTCAGAGAAAGCGAAGGGAAAGGAGTTGACTGAGCTCCAAGCTCAGTGGCAGCACTGCTGCCATCTTGTCTCCCAGCAAAAGCTCAGCAAAATGAATTCGACTACTGGCAAGATTCTGATGAGATTAAATTGACTACAGCACCATATAGGTACTGGAGGAGCATCTCTCCCATTTCTCTTTTAAGTGCCCGGAGCTACCTCTTCCTTTAGAGAAAAGAAGCTGTCGATCCCAAAATACCCGCGGGGTTAAAAACAGGGAGAGATGGATTTACTGAGGTCACAGGGGGACATTTATCAATGCACCATCAACCCCTCACAATGGAGCCCCTGGGTGACCGTCACTCCTACCCCGCAGTGGTCATGCTCTCTGCTGGTTAAGTTTCCTTGCAGAGGTGAAGGGCGAGGGCTGCAGGACAAGGAGGCCGAGGGAGCTGCTGGAATCCGTCTGACTGTGTCGCACCTGCCTCCAACACTGGCGCTGCCCCTTCCCCTCACCTGCTGCTAATTCAGGACTCGTGACGAGAACAATCTCCCGTTTAACGCCACTGTTCCATCACGTTCTTCTCTTCATTTTTGACCGATTCTCTTGCAAACGCTGCAATTACCTGCTTGGATCTCATTAGCTGGGCAGGAGTCACCCCATGCAAACGCGGGCTGCGTTGTCGAGGAGCAGGCAGGGCCGAGGGACGCCTGACAGCAGACGGAGCGAAGTCAGTGACACGTGAGCTCGCGCCTGCACGTTCAGACGCTGACAGCCCTGCTTCAGGAGCTTGCTTTCAGCCGGGCACTGCAAAGTGGATCACTCGCACGCAGCGCYGGCGCTTCCTTCATTATACGTGTTCCCGTGCAGGAGCCACACGCGTCTCCCAGCGCTGTGGGCCTACGCCAGCGGAGCTTCATCAGCCTTCAACTCCACAGCCTGCCGCTTTGACCTCGGAGCCGATGGGCTGGCGAGATTTTACATTTTTGTTCAGGCTTCTGGACTAAAATAACCATCTTCAGAAAGAACTTAGGTCTCTTAGCTGTATTTTTACTTCTGGACAGGAACTGCTGGGGACCACTGGACACCCCACTCCTTCAAGATATATTATTTAGAACAACCTCGTTAGGGTCTGGGTGCTTTCTTTGTGCCCTCTACCTCTTAATTTGCTGCAGGGCCAGGATGAACAGAAGGTGCCGGCCAACTATCAGGAGCAACATTTGGAGGGTGGGAGGGGAAGTGGGACGCTGCTCCTCCGGAGTGCACGAGGTGCTGGAYAGGTCAGCCCCGCTCGGGGCAACACATTCCCTCCTGCGCCACGGAGGGACAGGGCTGGAGCACAGCAGGGCTGCGAGGAGCTGAGCCTTTGTGCCRCCCTGCGACAGCGAAGCCAGTGCCAGGGCCTCCCCCTGCCGCAGGGCACAGTGGGCGCAATGAAGAGCGGTGGGTCCGGGGCAGGCACCGCTGTCACRCGCACCGCGTCCTTGCTCCCCGCGTGTCTGCCCGGTACGAAYGAGCTCTCACGGCCCCAAGGTCTTTGGGAAGCATCTAACCGATGGTGCCCCTAAGCATTGGTTCTGGGCGGGGAATGGGCCTCTAAAATGACGTGACAACAAGATGAGGAGAGATGGGGGGACGGATTTCACATCTCCAAAGAAAATCAGACCCCTGTGCTATTCCAGGGATGGGCTCAAGTGCTTGCAGGATCCACACAAACACACACGCACGCCAAAACGTGTCCTTTTCAAAGTATGACTTGTAATGCCTGCTGGATTYAGTTTTACTGACCCAGCCTCTAGAGGACACAACCCAGTGTCGGTCACCAAACCCGGGAGGCCATGCCAGGGAGAGGAACCCTCCTTTTTGAAACRGGGGCTAGTGAGAAGCTGGCCCGGGTGGCCACCTGATGCCAACTGCTCTGAAGGATGTAGCCTGGCTTTTACCAACACAGGACCAAACCACTGAGATCCCCATTTCAGATACTCCTTTGGGAGAGGGGCCATCTCAGGAGCCATCTTTATCCTGCCTCTATGTAGCAGAGAGGACCCTGAGCCATGTGTAAAGCATGCCAGGAGTGTGCTGGTGCACGTAATAAATAATAATCTCATCGCAGCCACAGAAAGATTGCACTTTTTATGCATATGTTGGGAAAATGCAGGTGCCGTTCAGGGAAGAGCCGGGGTTCCTCGAGCTGCCAACGCAGACCCTCCTGCAGCACTTGGAGGCAGAGCAATAAAAGCAGAGCTCATGCGATTGCTGGCCACATCAGAGCAACCCATTAGACAGCGATTCTTTGCATCTCCCTAGACTCCCTAACACTTCGCATCAAAACAGTATTTATCTCAAAGCACTGAATTCTTTTCCTTCCCCTGCACGGGGAGGAAAGAAGCCTCCCACTTCCCAGCTACGCGAGGCACCGCAGTGTCACCCAACGGCCCTGGAGTCCCTCCCCGCGGGCATGCTTTCACACTCTGTGCAAACCTGCAGACACTCGCTGCCCGGGGGCAGGGGCGCAGGGTCGTCCCTTCCCCTCCTGCCGCCCCACGGGGAGGGCGCTGCAGCAACAAGCCAAGCACCAGCGCGGCTCTGACCCGCGTCCCCCAGCACATACCCCAGGGGGTATGACATACCCCAGGGGTTTTACCCCAGCACATACCCCAGGGGCTGGCCAAAGCGCCACTCGAGCCCAGGAATTTTACTCACGTCGCTGAGTCTTTCCCGAGAGCTACTTCGATGGAAACCTTTCGATTCCCCGCTGGCGCTTTCACTGTCGCTGTCTCGGCAACTGTTCTGACCTGGTTTGAGCTGCAGGAGACAAGAAATGCAGAAAAAGTACAAGGTTAGGCTGGCGATTCAGCCCCCTGAGCTGCTGGCCCCCCACAAGGTCCCCGTGCGCTGACACCTCCGTGCGGAGGCAGCCGCCTTCGCTTGGGGCCGACTCACAGCAACCATGTTGAGTAACCTCAGCATCCACAAGACAAACCTATTTGCTGGATAACAGCTTCCTCCCGCCTTTCAAACAAGTCTTAGTGAACTTCACAGGTGTGGTAGTAAATAAAAACTCATACAGCCCATTTTTCAACACGTTCTAGAATACACCCAACCTTTTCTTAAGCTGTGGACAGGTCAACACATTAAGATGGCAATATATTGAAGGAGAGCTACCACGTATAGGTATCACATACAGACACACAAACACATATATGCAGCAAAAGAAAGAACCGAGCTAGATCTCCAGGAAGGCTGAAAAGGTTTATATTTGTTTTAAAGCAACTTCTTTATGCTTCCACGAATGCATTACAATCTTGCTTTAGCACAGTTGATGCCTCCTTTGAAACAACCTGTGGAGATTAGTCCTAAGGTAAACATTGGCAAAATACTGGTTTCAAGACCATACTTTTTTTTCAGAAATTCAGTGTTAGAAGTCACATGTCCAAATACAGGCAGCAGAGGCCGAAGCAGAGGAAATACCCAGGGCAGTGCCTAACCTCATGGAGCACTGGCCACGCTTCTGCATGTGACAAACACTAACCCACTCCTCCTCAACCACTCTAAGAAACTCGTAATAATTTCTATTTCGACTGCACAGAAATTAACACTCTCATCTCCGCTTCGGGATGGGTGCGTATGCATGGTTCAGCAAGGTGAAGACCAAAGACCAGCAATGAGCAGGAAAATCACAACAGCTGCTAGCAGAGAACAGCAGAGAAGCTGCAGAAACTTTGGCCAAATCCACAGGAAACCTCTCCTCCTCCTCCAGGAGGTAGGGGATCCGCTACATGGCCAGCAGTTCAGCTGGGTGAAACAAGGCGGTTTTGGGTGCTCTTTGCCAGCCAAACATGAGAGGAGAAGGGCTTGTCCACGTGAGCGATGCAGTCCTGAACAGGACTGCAAGAAGGGCACAGGTGTCCTCCCAGCTCCAAGAAAACACAGCAAGACCTGAAGCCGCTTGCAATAAAATAAACAGACTAAATACACCCCAGCTCAGCCAGAAAATCTTGAGTAAAAACATTTTTATTCCACATGTGGTGGCTTATCAATTACATCTAACAGAGTTAGGTAGGAACTTTTGGAGGCGACGGGGGGAAGATCTAATTCAAGAAGTCTGGTACTTCATATAAACCCCACAGATCTTATCTAGGACCACTATGTACTGTAATTTTATGGCCTTATGTTTAAAAATTAACCACACAAAGGAAAACAGCTCAAGTTTCACTGACTCAGGCTTGTGTCAACAACTGCTCAATGATGGAGAAACTCTTACAGTAACTGGGGCCTGAAGGACTTTTTGCTGCCTCAACTCTTTCTTCTTCTGGAATCTCAACTTATTTTGTACACAATTCTCAAGTATTCATCAGTGAGGTTTCCTGTTTTATTGCTTCTTCTGCACTGCGAATTCCAGCTATTTACAGGGAAGCAAGGAGCAACTCTGCAACTGTCATTTTTTTAGAGACAGTATACAGTAAGTAAATGAATACGACCAAAATATCCAAGCCCAATATTCTGGAGGGACTAAGTGAGTCGTCATAGGCCAGACAGCAAGCTCAGAAGTCAGTCCAAGTTAAGATTTATAAGCTATCCATATTTTCCTTTCTTTTTTTCCAAGCCGCGTTTCTCCATGTGCCAAACCATTGAGGGTTTCCGTTCTATTCCAAAACCCATCAATCTGGGCTAAATTAAAAAAATAAAGCATGGAATTGTGCCCTTGTCTTCTCCAAAGAGCCTGGAGTTGCGCACMGCACACACGAGGACCCGTCACGGGGAAAGGCAGCGGTTCATTTCAACCTCCTTGCGCAGCCGCAGCCACTTAAAATCGGAGCGACGCCGAAGTGACGCAGCGCTGGTGAAAGATCTGCAAGGAGGAGGCTGGAGAATTTAGTAAAAACCCTTTTTCACAGAGCTTATGTATCATGTCACAGCCACCCTAATGCTGCTCTCCAGAGCTTTTTCTTTTTTCCCCTCAGTTTAAAACCCCACACCATTTGGCAGCAGTAAATCCCAGCTCCAGTGCAGTTTTGAGGCGCCTGGCTTTTCCACACCATATGGAACGAAAGGATTATTTCACTACATTATACTTTAAAGTTATGAACACTGACACTGCTCCCGACTCCYGTGCAGGCCGCAAGCTAAGGCTCTCCCCGCGCCCAGGACGAGGACACCTGCATCCCGCGGGATAGAAGAGCCCTACGGGCGGGAGCGGCGCTGGGCTTCGGCGCTGCCCCTCATCCCTGATTTACGCAGCCTCTGCAAGGAAGGAGAGGCTGAACCCCCTGCCACAACCCCCACGCAGGTCACGTCTCCCCCAGACTGGTGCCCGCCGGCCCTGCAGGCCTCTCTGTGCTCCATCTCCAGCGCTCCTCAACCTTAGCAAGTCTCCAGGGCTCCAGGCAAGTCCTGGGCGCCTCCCGGGCGGTTGGGCGACGCACACGTAGGGTCACAAGGACATCGGAGAGGATGGGAAGGGGGGACCACTGCTCCCCATGTGCTCATCACGGGCAGGACCCTGTGCTCAATTAAAACTCACGTTGTCAGAGTATTCTGTATTTAAGCTGAACACTTGTCCCACTTCCAGGTCTCATAACAGGCTCCTTGGAAATCAGGACAACGCGCGCTGAAGCTTAATCGATTCTAATCAACGAAACAATTGATTACAAACCCTACGAGTACAACGGCGGTGGATTAACGGGTGATGAGATAAACACTGTTCAGTTAGAGTGCTGCTGCTTAAATCACATCTAGAACACAGAGGGAAAGGGCTTTAGCCTTTGCATCCCACCAGCTTCCCGGCCCGTCCACAGCAGCGCTGGGCTTTTGACTTCAAGGGAAGCTATGGGTTACCAGAGAGTATTGTGCCTTCTTGCACGGCACAACATTTGGAAAGGCTCTTGTGTAACGTCTTTATGTTGAAGCTGACAACAACTAACATATCCGCTGAGGAGCAGCCTGCTGATGAGGTGCCAAGGATCGGGGCCCACCGGCCATCACCCCGCTCTCTGAGCTCCCCGGCACACAACGAAGCTCCACTGTATTCTGCACACCTGGACCGTCAAAGGAAGATAGACCAACAAAGTGAAGACTTCATGTTTTGTTCCCTGCCTGCTCCTAACTCAAAATATAAAGTATTATGTTTTCCTTTTCCCAAATTCTCTTTATGGAAAGGAAGAATAAGCACAGATGATTTTTTTTTCCTATTTCTTGCCCACAACCTACCAAAACCTAATGAACAAATAACTGTGGCCAGCTGCCAATCAGCTCCACGACACAGAACTACAGTGTCTTTAACCTCCCTGTTAAAGCACCGGCAGTCTCCTCCTGCTGCCTTCAAGCTGAGCCCTCRCTCGGTGAACAGGGCTAAAGGAGCAGAGTCTCCACTCACCTGAGCAGGGGACAAGCCCACTGCAAGAAAYAGAGCTGCAACCCTCTTCCACCGAGGAGATTGGGTCTGTTTAGAGCTGTTATTACAGAAACACCGAGCAACCACATTCTGCTCATAGGAGCAACAGCAGGAGCAATGCGGATAAGAATAAACAGCATCCGTGCCGAAGCGGGCTGCGGGAGAAAGGAACGGGCGTTTATTTCCAGATCCTCTTCTCTTTCATTATATGCTTGGGCAACCTTAGCTACACAGCACCCGGAAGGTATCCTAAAGTAGCTCTCGAGCTCTATTTTATCTCAGTTACACAGAGAATGCAGCCCATCATTTTTTTCCCTGCACTGTTTATACAGAAATCGAAGATAAATTTGGCATAAACTCATCACACCCCAGAATCATACATACATTATACGACATACAAAGTGTAGCAGACTCGCTCGGTTTCCCAGCTCCTGTTAAGAGCGGTACGAAACAGCAAGCTGTTGGCAATTGCAACAAATGAAGCGTATTTCAGCACACTTTAAAAGCTGAATTGCAAAAAAATACAGGCTTCTTCTGACCCTTTGCATTTTGATGGTTGCACAGTGAGAAATGTGGCCTTTAAAATTACACCTTGCAAAGCACTCCATTGCAGCAATCARTCTCCGCGTGCAGCGCGCCGGCTCCCGCAGCACGGAGAAACTGCCCCGGGAACACTCCCGTCACTCCYTCCGCTCACTGCTGGGGCTCTCCGTAGCTTCTGCACCGTGGCACAAGGTGGCATCCAGGTCTTTAAAACCCACCTGGATGTCACCCTGTGCCACACTCTCTAGGTGTCCCTCCTCGAGCAGCAAGGTTGGACTAGATGATCTCTAGAGGTCCCTTCCAACCTTGACCATTCTGCAGTCAGTTTTAGCCCAGAGTGGGGAGAGAGAAGAGCCCTGGCATCCTGAAAAATAGCTCTCCAGATCCTGCCTCTTCCTTCAGTGCTGCCAGGTCCAGCTCTGGCCTGGGCCCTTAGGGACTCTATCCCACTCTTCCTTCTGCCCCTCCAAGGAGCCTTGGTTTCTGTGGCATGGGAAAGCAGAGGTGAGGCAGCAAAGGACAGGCAGACATCCTGCCTTCACTCTGAATCTATGGACAGGGGAACAGAAGAACAAAAAGATTATCTCCTTTAGCCAGAAGTGTTCAGCATCCAACACCTCTTGGCCACCCGAGCCCTGCTTGGCAGCTGAATGACTTGGAAATGTGTATCTTGCTGGAAGACTATTTAAGTATCTAAGAAGACAGAATTAATAATAAGAYGAAGCAAAAACAAACAAACAAGCCAGGCCAAGAAGTTTGACAGCTTTTGTAAAAGCTCAGCTCCACAGCTCTCGGTAAAGCCTCAGTCTGTTTTAATGAAGGCATGGATAAAGTCAAGTTAGATTTTGTGCCCTTGCTCCCAGTCCGT